CCACCTCGGTGACCTCAGCACCAGAGATTGGAGGGCCCGACCCAGAGTCCCCTGGCTCTGCTTCCTCAGTGGAAGACGTGCCGATGGGATTGAGGAGGTCTTCAAAGTATTCTGCCCACCGACCCACGACATCCCAAGTTGAGATCAGCAGCACACCACCCCCCACTATAAGCTGTGTTGGTGGTGTACCACTTTCCCCACCGAGACACCGGATGGTGGACCAGAAAAAGTATGCCCACTCCTGCTCGGTGCCTTTCACCAGGGGCAACTCCAGAGTGGAAGAGTGTCCAACCCCTCTCAAGGAAACTGGTTCCAGAGGCAGAGCCATGTGTAGAGGTGAGTCCGACTATTTCTAGCCGGAACCTCTCAACCTCACACAGCAGCTCAGGTTCCTTCCCCACCAGTGAGGCGACATTCCACGTCCCAATAGCCAGCTTCTGTAGCCGAGGATCAGACCGCCAGGGTCCCCGCCCTCTGCCACCACCCATCCCACATTGCACCCAATCCCTTTGGCCCCTCCCACAGGTGGTGAGCCCATGGGAAGGGGGACCCACGTCTCCTCTTGAGGCTGTACCCGGCCGAGCTCCATGGGTAAAAGCCCAGCCACCAGGCACTCACCCGTGTGCCCCACCTCCAGGCCTGGCTCCAGAGTGGGGCCCCGGTGCCCCACATCTGGGCAAGGGAACATCGTGTCCATTTATTTTTCTCATCATAGGGGTGTTGGTCGTTATTAAAAATAGAAGGCCAAAATTTAACAAACCCTTAAGCCAAGAGAGGTTACCAGGAGATGAGTACATATTAGTTTGTATTTATTACATATATTTTGGGGTCATTATAAGTAGTTTACATCCCTTTTGACTAATGCTATTGGTGTATTTTAATTAGTCACTTTCATAAAATGAAAATATAAAACTGCTTGAATAAATATCCCCTGGGTTGCAGGGTCCGATGCAGACCGACGGCCTGTCAGTACTGGCAGCACATGATAAAGTGCTGCCATATGGCACATGGACCCATCAGAGGAGGAGAATCAACCTGAAATACAACGTTTCCATGATGTCTATGATAGCATCTGACAGTCATTAATAATAAACTGGTTGTGCTTTTATTAATTCCACCATAATGGAACTGTAACTGTAATCATATAGTAATGCAATTACTTGATCAATTTAAAGAATGTTTATGTCACTTTATGTTATCTTCTGTCTGTAGCTTTGTACTCTGCAAGTAACATATATTAGTAAATTAATAATATAATAATTATAATATGAATTAACTATCTTGTATTTTTAGATGGTCAATCGATCAGGAATAATTGTTCAGAAGACTCCTGGGAACAATCATGCCAAATTTGGAGCTTGTATCACATTTTGTGCAAAAATGATTTTAGCTGCTCAACTATCACCACAACCGACAGAAGCAATGCACTCATTACTGAGGATGAAACCCTAATCCATCAGTCCATGTCCCATTCCAGCAACCGTCTTGTGTAAGTTTTTAGTTGCACGAAATATCAAGAAATTATCATCATTGCAGTATCAAAGTGCACATGATCAATATTGCAAGGGACATCAATAAATCCCAGACAAAACATGTGC